TCATCGAATTATTTGGCAACATATGACACGTAAAAATGTTGGTGTTCAAAATGGAGTTAACATTTGGAAAGTATGTTGCAATTACTATAACAAAGAACTTAGATGGAAGCTCAATTCAAGCACAGCGCATTTGAATAGGCACGTATTAAGGAGTTGCAAAGCAAAATCAGTCGGTCTCGACCCGAAACAGACGGAACTAGTGTTTAGCGATTCTGGTTATACTCTTTCCACCTTTGTATATTCACATGAAAGATTTTGTGAATGAATGGCTAGATACGTGACTACAGTAGAGATGCCACTTACGATGATAAACTCAATACACTTTATCCAGCTCTTGCGGAATTATCTTCAACCCATATATCATTCTTATTATAGAAATATTTTTTGTTAGGATACTATAAAATTATTTAACAAAAAAAAAAGTGCTATTGAAAGTATAAAAACTTTTAATAGTGTTATATTGTTTACCTCGAATTTATGGACCAGTAATAATAAAAAAATATTATATTGTTGCTACAGTTCATTACATTGATCACCTATGACTTCTACATAAAATGATCATTGCATTCAGATGTGTAGAATATCTCATAATGCCACTGATATATACATGATTTAAAAAGATGTTATTCAAAAATATGGTATACAGAAGGTTTGAAAATTTCCTTGTTATCGAAAAATTTATTAATGATTTTAACCCTATCTTTGGAAGTTTTATTTTTTTATCAACGGGTATGTCAAATTATCAATTTAATTGTAAAAAATGAATTAGAACATATAAGATTACATTTATATAAAATTAGACAATAAATAAATTTTATCACAGCGTTACCAGCAAGAAAGCAAGCATTTAACAGTTTGTGTGCAGAGTGTGACTTACAAGAGAAATCATTTGCCACTAATGTAACACATATATGAAATTCTACATATCTTATGTTACAGTCATGTGAAAATTATGATAAAATTATTTCACTATATTATAATGACAATCGTACATATGGACCCGAGCATAATTTTGAAGATTGAGAATGGTCTCTTTCATTTTGTGTGAAGAATTAAAACATTTTTTCAATACCACAAAGGAATGTAGCTAGAGATGTCAATGAGCCGAGCCGGCTCGACGCTCGGCCCTTAGACCCAAGAGCCCAGCTCGACTCGTGGCTCGTGGAGAAACGAGCCACGAGCTCACGAGCCGAGCGACCGAGTCGGCTCGTGGCTCGTTTGCTCGCGGGCGAGCTCGGCTTGGCCCACGAGCTGAACTGGTCAATTTTTTTTAGCTTTTCTTAGTTTTTTTTTTAATTTTTTAGTGTTTTTTTCACTACTGCTCGTGAAAAAACGAGCTGAGCCCGCCGTTCGGCTCGTGCTTGGGCTCGTGGCTCAGTAGCAAGGAGCCGAGCCCACGAGCCGGCTCGGCTCGATTGCCACCACTAAATGTAGCGGTGTTTATTACCTTATATATTCACTTATTTTACAACATTTTTTTCTACATTTCATAAATATATGAATTTGTCAATTTTTGTTGGTTTAGTTTATTTTATGTAGTTAAAAAACGTAATTTTTAAATTTATTTGTCTCAAGAAAAATTATACATGAAATATTTTATTCGTGTACAATTTTAACTCCGCCTACGTTGACTGTAGCCGATCCCAAACTCGATTAGAGGATGAGAGTTTTAATTTTTATTTAATTTATAATTCGTATAAATTGTACAGATTCTAATCTCTTTTAAAAAATTTGAATTCGTCATGAATTAAAAATAAAAATCGAGCCGTCTCGGCTCGCTGAGCCCTGAGTCGAAAGCTCAGGTCAAGCCTAAATTTTTTAACCGAGCAAAAGTTCGACAAGGCTCAGGCAAAAAAAAATTCGAACCACTTTTACTTGAGTCAAACCAGAGCTTCGAGTTTCAGCTCGCGGCTCAACTCGTTGGCATTCCTAAAAAGGTCCTAAAATTTCTTAGGAGGTAGGTCTGACGAGATCGTTCGTGCTATTTGGGATATGCAACCTGTCGACGTCCAGGCGGCTGCGAGAATTTACCATTAAAAACTGGACTGATAAGTACTCTTCATATGCCAAGATTTGTGACTCAATTGATATGCTGGAAGCTGGCTTCGTCTGCTGGCTCACTTATAGGGCTTCTTCTTAAATGCCCAATAGATATGAGGAGGCTGCATGGACTTAATAAAGAATATCTTCGAAGGGCTTCTAATGCGGAGGTAGAGCTGAATAAGGTAAACGCTGATACATCTACTGCTGGTGAGGCCATTTAAGCCTTTAAGGTTTAGCAAGCTGAGACAGAGTCGAGTGTGAAGGCATTTTTCAAGGAGACTAATGAGTTGAAGAAGTAAGTCCACCTCTGCAGAGCTAAAGTTAATGCTTTGATGAAGCGGGTCGAAAATTCTGATAAGCTACAGTGGATCGCTTCGTCGGCCTTTGAGGCTGCAAATAAAGAAAATGGGAAATTTGAAGGCTCGAGTCAATGGGTTGACTACCGATGCTTCCGTTTGAGGCAGCAGCTGAGTGGGGGCAAGGGAAACAGCTGTAAATGACTATGTTTCCCAATTTCATAGAACGGTTGAGTATGACGACCTCACTGAAGGAAGGTACAATAAAGTTTTTGGGAGTTTTGTTGCGCTATATCCCTAAGTGGGCTTGGATTTTTTAAAAAAGGAATTCTTTCCAGTAGAGCCGTCCACTCATGCAGATGAAGCTGAAGACTTTGTAGAAGAAGATGATAGCCCAGTAGAGCCTCAGTAGGGTAAAGTTGCCACCTAGACTTATGCCTTTAATTTATTTGTTTTGATCTTATGTAGCTTTCCTTTGTAATCAACTCTTTCTTCACATAAAAGAATTTTTTTCTATTCAGTTGTTTCACTTTTCTTCTATATGTTTGTTGACGTTTCAATGTATGATGTAAATTGACTAGTCCTCTTTTAACAATTAAGTCACAACTAAATAACTTGAATCCTCAAGAAACAAATGCTGGCGTTATAATTCTGAACTGTTCCATAGTGATTTAGTGAACCTACAATTTTGCCATTAGATTTGAGCATAAGTTCATACTAATCTTTGTATGGGCTCGCCATAATTAAATCTGAATGAATATCCAAAGTGTAAAGGGTTCAATATCATTGCGGGAGAAGGGGAGCCGTCAAGGTTTATTACGGCCACACATGTTGATGACAATCCCATGAAGCTATTTACTATCCATTTATGCGAAGAGATCCACTTCCGAGGTGGATGGTCATGAGCATTAAATGCTAATACCACTTTATCATCCACAATGACTAGCATGCAGCTTTGGCCTTGATCTGATGGGGGTGGCAAGGACGACGTCTAAGTGGGTTGTCACATCAATAACCTACCAAAGATTGCTTGGGAGATCTTGTGCTAAATTCTTTTCGTGGCCTCGCCTCCACTCGTAGTACGACCATTTCCCCCAGAGTCAATCTAATCTAGTGGGGTTGGTAAACACATAGGCTCAGTCATCCAAAGGGGTTCGATTAGAGCATCTTCGTGATATTTAGATGCAATGCGATCCCCACGCTTGGCGCCACGTAGAATGTTTGGGGCCTCGTGAAGTGAGGCGTAACAAGTCCCATTGTATGTTCGCATGATTCTGTATTTTTACACCTCGACCAAGGGGCATAATTGAAGCAAAAGATGTCTCTGTCATCGAAACATAATTCAGCAATGAAAGACATGGAATCCAAACACTTGGCTAAGAATACAATTAAAAACCTTGATCACCAAGTGGTTCAGAGGCCTCACAGACTAGCCTCTAATATGGATGAAAATATTAGTGTGGATTCTAACACAATCAATACATATTTAGTGCAATAAATTTATGCGTGCATACAATGAATTGCTTGACAAATGTCAAAAAAACATTTGCCTCAACAATTTTGAAATTTGACTTAATCTTGACTTCCAACACAATGATGAGGAAATGTCAACTCATAAAAATAATTAAAAAATGCCTATAAATCGTCTATAGAAAAGGTCATTCGCACACAAAAAAAAAATGATTGAAAGACTAAGATCCAAATATCTACTATCTAAAAAAGTCTTGAACCAAGGCAAATTGAAAGCTGGCCCTCTCAAAAATCCTAAACAAACCCAAAATCCTCTGAAAGTGTGAAAAATTCTGTCAAAATTTCAACAAAAATATGGACAGTTGATTTTACAAAATAATTTATATTTTTTTTGAAATCACAGGTCAAGGCTTTTTTTACGGAAGTCTTTCAAAATTTTGAGATGAATAATAGTGTTTTTATGAGATTTTTTATTTATATTTTAACTTAAAAGTTGGTACGCAATTTTTTTTTTATAAAAGTCATTGATATTATGGGTAACTCGTTACTTTTAAAAAGTTTTGAGAAGTGAGAGAGGGAGAGATAAACTGGAATTTTTGAAAAGATTAAATTACATGGAAAATAAAATCCTACTCCCCCAAGGAAAATATTTTCTTTATTTTCAAGGAAAATATGATCACGTGACCAAAAATAGGAAGTTATTTTCCATGGAAAAAATTAGCAATCAAACAGCACAAAAGTAGGAATTTTTGTGGAAAGTTGACATTTTTCATGGAAAATATTGACAATCAAACACACCCTTATTGAATACCTCAAGACTTCTGTGTAGTCTTGATTGAATATACATATAATTTTTAACTTTCTAAAAATCTAAATTGAGTACACATAATTTTCGATAAAGAACGTCTGAATTTACAAAGAATTTTAACATGATGCATTTGTAACAAAAAAATGTGGTTATTATAAGTAGGGTTTTGCTAGTGGTATTTAAGTGGGTTACACCACCCAACGCTTATGTACATTTTTTATGTACAAGGAGCAAAATCAGTGGTGCACCAAACCGTACCGTATCCAACCCACCCGGCCCGACGTCAGAGTAATGGCCCAAAGGTTCAACGTTTCAAGGGTCTCCCGGCGAATTGAGGAAATTTCACCCAAAAACGAAGAATCACTAAATCATCATTCACTCCGATGGAGGTGCCGGGTTCATCAAAGAAGATGATAGCTACACAGGAAGAAATGGTGGAGGCCAAGGTGCCAATACCATACAGAGACCAATGCGCCCATTTGCTGATCCCACTGAACAAGTGCAGGCAGGCCGAGTTCTATTTGCCCTGGAAGTGTGAGGCGGAGCGCCACACGTATGAAAAGTGCGAGTATGAGCTTGTCATGGAAAGAATGCTCCAGATGCAGAAGATCCGTGAGCAAGAAGCCAAGATGAAGGGCTCTCAGAAAGGCCAGTTGCCCATTCGTCTCATCCCCAAAACAGCGGATGCTTGACTCTGAAAGGTGATTTCTTTAAGCCCTTGATAAATCCAATTGCAGGTTTTGTGAAATTAATAGTATGATGATGTATTTAAATAGCCAATCACACATTGCTGTTTAAGAATTAGTATTGTGCATTTATTTTGTATTTTTCCTAAATTGTGTTTTTGATTGTTGGATATGGGTTTTCCTTAGTTTTGAAGAGATTTTTGAATGGGAAATTATATTGCCAGAAAATACTTCGTCTTGCCAGGTCAAGGCGCAATCTGTTAAACTTATGGTACAACTTAATGTGCAGAACCAATCTGCTCTATGAAGTCCTACCTCTCTGTGATTGGACGAGTGTAGTACCTGAACTTGTGTTTACTTCGATTTTTTAATTAACGGGGTTTGAGTTTTCGATTAACAGGACTCTCTTATTTTTATGAATCCTTTTTTTGGGAATTATCTGAGTGGGTGTTTGATTGGCATATAAATATCTCGTAGAAAAGAAAATATTTTCCTTGTTTTGAGGAAAACAAAAACCTAAAACTAGGCATATTTTCAAAAGTTTGAAAATATTTTCAATGGAAAAAAAATAACAATCAAGCACTCCAAAGTGGGAATTTGGGTGGAAAATTGACATTTTTCATGAAAGTAATGCTATCAAACACACCTTTAGTGTTTTTTTTCTCAATTTTCACATTGAGCTTATTGATGGCCTTCTCTTGTTTTTATGAATTCTTTAATTATGAACTTGGTCACTCATATAAGTTTATTTTATGTTAACCTTGAGGGGTTGCTGAATTGGTTAAACCTTGTGTTTGCTCCTCAATGATCACCAATTTGAATCCCCTCAGGCCACTGAGGTGAATACCAAACCGTAAACTTTAGGGTCATGTGGGATTAGTCGAGGTGCGCGTAGGCTGGCCCGGACATCTACGGTTATCAAAAAAAAAAAAAAATTATGTTTTTGAAGTATTGATCAATTTGTTTCCTGTGTTTCTGTGAGTTGGATATTGCAGTTGCATTTTTTTGCACATCTATGTTTGCTAAGTTCTAAGTGATTTTTCTAATTTGAAAATTTTATCAATGGAGGTTTGTTAAATTGGGGATACACATACAAATTGATGCCCCATGGGTGTATATGTCCAAATATCTTCTTTCTCATTTGTTTTGTTAATCTGTATGTAAAAAAAAGGTGGTATTTAATTAAATCTTTAAGCAGTTCCATGATAGTTTCTTTGCCAGATTCTGTTAACAATAAAGACAATGTATCATTTGGACCTTTGCTGAATTCAAGTTCTTCAGTACTAGGATGCTTATGGAAAATTTCAGGTCAAGTCACTAGGTTTTAACCCTATATTTTCAAGTTTGGCACTTTCTGGATACATGTCTTAATAGCTTTTTGTTTCAGTCAGAAAGGTTATCTTAATACAGTACAGATTTGGATTGGAAGATTCGATCTATGGTTGGCTATCAGGTTGCATGTGCAGCATTGTGACACTGCCATGTATTGTGTATCCTCAGCGTTTATAGGTTTTGAGTGGTCAGGTTATATCTTGCATTGAGTGAAAAGTTTTGGAGGAAGCAAATTTGCTTAGACCTAAATACAGAGCAGTTTTGGATTATATTGACTAATATCATATAAACGATTTTTTTGAAGTTCTTTAGAATGTTCCCACTTCAGTTTGGTTTTGTTTAATTATCACAAGGTCGAGGTGATTTTCATCTTTGCAAATCATCGTGTACATTTCCCTTTATTTTCTGCCTGTCTTCCTACTAATTATTTTTTAATTATTGTCATCTTCAGGCTTTAACTAGAAGCCCTGCTAGAATTACTTTTAGGAAAAAAAATATTTTTAAGAAGTTAAAAATCTCGTGACATGTTAGAAAGAGCAATGATTTTGAGTAGAATGCTATTGTCCAAAGATCCAGTGCCTCCTTTTTGGCAAGTTCCAAAAATAGTATTTGAGTAGAATGCTATTGTCCAAAGATCCAGTTCCTCCTTTTTGTCAAGTTCCAAAAATAGTATATAGTTCTTAAAACAATGGTTTTTATTTATGTTCTCTTGCATCAAGATAATAAGTTTTTACTTTTGACGTTTGAAAATATTTTTCATTTTTTTATTATGTTTGTAGATAATGTCTAATTCTCGTCGGGTATGTGTTTCCAATGACTGTGACGATGGTGGAGCTGAGAAAGTTTTTCTGACAAACAAAAAAGAACTACAAAATAAGAGACGAAGAGAATCATATGCGAAGCGAAAGGAATTCAAAGGAAACAAGGAAAGACGTATTGGTCGTCCTTCACGTGCATCACAATTGCAAGGTCAATTACTCTTTATTTTTCACACATAAAAGTCGTTCATGTTTTCTAATATCTTCATGGTCTAAAAATTTTGATTATGTAAAATTTATTTGTTTAACCAAAAAAAATTTCTCTGTAAAAAAACATAATTTCACATATCTAAGTTGTTTTCGTTATTTTTATGAAGTTAAAAGTATTTTATATTGTATTCAAATTCTTAGTTTTCCAAAATTTGTTCTATGCTGCAAAACAAATGCTCACCTATCTAAGTTCTTTTTATTAGTTTACAATAAAGTTGTAGTTATTGTACATGTTATTTAAATTCAATATAGAATTTATTTTTATACTATATAGCATAAAGTATTAGATATTTTCATAAACAAATGTGTTCTCAATTTTTAGTTTTCATTTTTATGGATGCGGACACCGAAAAATGTGTGAAAATGAATAATTTCTTTTTAACAATTTGATGCGTTTTCATTTTAAAAAAAATAAAAATAAAGGCATGTGTCATAAGAATGTTAGGTTCAACTATTCATCTCATTTCTACCTTTCAAATGGAGCCTTATTATTCCCAAATCGTGTTGTCTTGGAAGCTACATTGTTTTTAATATTAATTGATCTTTATGGTGTGTTTTTGTATAAGTGCTTGTAAATGAAGCTAATTAAAATCTATGCATTGTAGATTCACACTTTGGCGACGATGTCTTGTGTGGTACTGAGACACTCGCTTCTTGCTCCATCATCCTAGGTCCTAAATCTTGTACCGACACTACAGGTATATTTAACAATGAAATTGAACTTGAAGAACAGAGTGAACGTATTTCAACCTTAAGGTTACCTACAATTCCAATTGAACCTTACATTCTACCATCACCTATGATTTGTAGTTACTGTAATGCAAAGAAATTCTGCAAAGAACCTAAAACTTTTTGTTGTTCTGACGGAAAAATTAGCTTATGCCTTAATACTGTACCATCTAACTTGTATGATTTGTTCACATCATCATCGCCTGAAGCTTTACAATTTAAGACTATTTGTCGAAGTTACAATAACCATTTTGCTTTCACGTCCTTCGGCGTAAAATATGACACTGATTTATGTAGGATGAATAAAGGAATTTATACTTTTAGAGTTCAAGGTCAGGTGTATCACTTCATGAACCCGTTGTTACCACATGATGGCAAACCAAGTTATTTACAATTATATTTTTATGATACTGAAAATGAAATTCAACATCGAATGACCACTTATAATCGCTTTTCAGAATCAATGTTACAAAAATTGATAGATATTTTAAAGAGCAATCCTTACTCAATGTTTTTTCGCTCTCTAAATACTATTGGAGCCTTAGAGACGTATAAAATACAAATAAGATGTAATTCTGAACTCGATCAAAGGGTGTACAATCTTCCAACAACCTCTCAAATAGCTGCAATTTGGGTTGATGAAGACCCTACTGCAGAAGTTAGAGTTCGCGACATAACCATTTTTGGTCATTCTGGATCATCTCATAGAGTCCATTATTACTTTGGTTGTTACGATCCTCTTCAGTACCCTTTGTTGTTTCCTTATGGCGAACCTGGATGGCACGAGGGCATTAAAAAAATTACTAGAACGCACCCTTCTTGTTTTCTTGCAGCCGAAGATGTAATCAACATTAGAAATATGAACTCTGCAGAAGAACTAATTGAGAGAGAGAATGCAGGCATGTCAATACAAACTTTTTCTACTCTTTTATCCATTTGTAATGTCATTTACTTTTATTTTGCTATGCCATTTAAAATATTGTCTCCTTTTTTTTCTTTTAGGGGTTAGAGAATCGAAGAAAAGATCTCAAGTTTCTTGTCGGGAGTACTACTGTTATAAATTACAAATTAGGACTTCAGGTAACTCGATCTTGCTTCATGCTGGTAGACTTTTACAACAATATGTAGTTGACATGTATGTGAAAATTGAAACATCTAGATTAGATTACTTTAGAAATAACCAAAAACATATACGTGCTGAATTATACCAAGGGATTGTTGATACTATTGGAACAGGGGAATCTAGAGGGTATAAAATAGGTAAGAAAATTGTTTTACCATCATCCTTCACTGGTGGTCCTAGAGATAAGAAAAAAAGATATATGGATGCAATGGCTTTAGTTCAGAGATTTGGAAAACCTGATATTTTTTTGACAATAACTTGTAATCCTAATTGGCCTGAGATAAAACAAGAATTACGGCACAACGATGAAGTACATAATAGACCTGATTTAATATCTCGTGTATTTAGATCCAAATTGGAAACGTTGAAGCACGACCTATTTAAAGAAAAAATATTTGGTCCTATTGCAGCGTACATATATGTGATTGAATTTCAAAAAAGAGGTCTTCCACATGCTCATTTCTTGTTGATTTTAAAACACGAATCAAAAATTACTTCTACCAATGTCATTGATAGTATTGTTTCATGCGAAATTCCTAACCAAAATAATTACTCTTATTTACGTTCTCGTGTTATCAAGCATATGATGCATGGTCCTTGTGGAATTTTAAATCCAAAAAATGTTTGTATGGAAAAGAACCACTTGTGTAAAAACAAATACCCTAAAGAATATTCAACAATTACCACTTTAGGTAATAATTCATACCCTTTATATAGACGACGTGATAACGGTGAACGAGTTAAGGTTAGAGGAGAGTATTTAGATAACAGATGGGTAGTGCCTTATAATCCTT